AAAAAAAAACAAAAATAACCAACCAATCAGATAAATATGTTCGCAACAACAACACAACACATTATTATAATAATTCTATTATTTATTTATATAAGCAATGGGTTATTGTGTGGAGTTGGATGTGTTAATTGTTTATATAATGGGTATTGTGAGTCATGCATGAAAGGATATAATCCTAATGACAAGAATTGTAGTGAGTGTTTTCACTTTAATCCTCGTCAAAGTATTTCTGAAGAAAATCCTGTTACAATACAACGGAATGGGATTTGTGTTATTGTTAATCAAGCACTTCATCCATTAACAATGAATTGGCACCCAGGAACAAAATACAATACAATTGCTAGTTTTACAGACAGCACTATACAAACCGATGTTAATATATCATATGAAGAAATAGAAACAGCAGTTGCAATTGGACCATGTGCATCTAATAGAATAACAAATAAATTATTTAAATTAACGAGAATTATGGAAATTGATACAACAGGAAAAAGTTCAACATTAATTAACTTTGAAATTAAATTTAAAACAAACATTCAAAGTCAAGTTATAATGAGTGTTACAACAAATTCACCATCTGATTCAAAAGCAAATTGTCTTGGTCAAAGTATTTTAAAACCAGGAACAACACGTGCTTATATGGCATTAACATTTTATAATAATACAAAATATTATTTATTTCTTCAATCAGAAGAAGATGTTGAAGTAATATTTACAACCGAAATTGATCCATCTAAAGTCTTTTTCAATTTAATAGGTAGATTTAATCAAACATTCTTTAATAATCTAATTCATAAAGATGAAAGTTATAAAATAAATGTTCCTATCTCTTCACAAGGTATAGTCTTCTCACCTGAATGTGCAAACAATTTATATTTAAGAGGAATGGCATTTACAGTTTCTGTACCAGAGGATTATAGTCTTCTTATTGATACAACAACAAGTAATAAGTTAGCATATTTAATAGAAATTAATAAAGTTACAGAGAATGGACTGACTGATGGGTGTCTTGATGTTTGGGTAGGAAGGAAATGGAATGATTGGTTAGCTGATGGAGAAGAACTTGGATTAAGTGTTAGAACTACAGGAAATCATTCATTCTTTTTAATGTTAGATGAGTTTCTTGAAGACATTGAATTAACATTTAAAATGATTTGTCATAATGATTGTCATTATAATGAAGGACATGGATTTTGTAATTTAATTACTAAAGGGTGTGAATGTAAAGAAGGATATGGATATGATGATTGTTCAGAATTATGTTATTATAATGGGAAATGGAGAAATGATATTAACCCATCTGATAGTAGTACATGTTATTATGGAGAAATAGGATGTAAATCTAGAGATTGTACATGTGATGAAGGATATAGTACTAAAGAACATAGATGTGTATCAAATACATGTCTAAATAAAATCATAGGAGGAAAAGATGAATGTTTAGAAGGAAGTGGATGTAATACTGACATCTGTAGATGTAATGAAAATTATATAGTAACAGAAGAACAAAAATGTAAATTAATAACATGTGGAAATGGTAGAATAGAAGAAGGAGAAGAATGTGATAATACAACTTCATGTAATAATTATTGTCAATGTGAAAAAGGATATATTAGTCAAAATGGAATATGTCAAAAGAAAGAAAAAATCTGGTGGATATCAATAATTATTGTAGTAGGATGTGGAATAATAATAATAATAATGCTGATAAGTATTTTTTATTTTGTATTTAGAACAAAAAAGAGTGTTTCTATATCTGTTTATAGAACACAACAAGCTACATATTATCATGATATTAGTAGAGCAATTAAAGAAAATAAAGGAATAGAATTACCATATAAAATTGAAAGAAATGATTTATCATTTGGAAATGAAGGAAAAACTACAAATATTAATGAAACAAGATTCCAAGATGTTGAAATTGAAAATAAAAGTAGTAAATGGATGACAATAATCTTTCATACACCAAAAACACCAAAATATGTATTTTATTTTGAACCACAAATATTAACAATTAAAGGCAAACATAAAAAAACAGAAACAATTATGATGACATTATTTTGTACAACAAAAATTATGGGAATGAAAATACCATATACAATTTATTTTAGTAAAAAGAAAGAAACATTAAAAGAAATAACACATCTTCTTAAAGACAAAGACTTTGAAACATGGAATGAAAAAGATAAAGAAAATATGTCGATATTAATGAAAAGTGTTAATAAAAAATATTATGGGAATTTTATTATTGCTACAGAAGCAACTAATTCTACTAATCTTGATTTAGATGAATTACAAATTAGAGAACCACCAATTGGAAATGGTGCAATGGGTACTGTTTATTTAGGAAAATATCGTAGTATTCCAGTTGCTGTTAAACAATTTCATTGGGAAAATCTAAGTGATAAAGAAATGGAAGAATTAAAAGAAGAAGTTATTGGAGAATGTGAATTAGTTAGTAAATTAAGAAATCCATTTATTGTAAATTATATTGGATCAGTTACTTATATTCCAGAAATTTGTATGGTTACAATATACATGCCATTAGGGTCATTATCTAACTATATTAGAAAAGATAATTCAGAAAATATTATATTACCTTTTGACCTTAAAATGAGAATTTTATTTGATACTTCTAAAGGAATGGTATTTCTTCATGAAAATAATATTATGCATCTTGACTTAAAACCAGATAA